TCCTGATAATAATGAATTACAGTCGTCCAGCCTGGAAGTAATAAATGCATGAACTAGTTTTTCAGCGTCACTCTGAGACAGGATATTTCTAATTTTATATATGTATTTAAGAATATATTATGGCTTTACGGGATTTGTAAATCATCACATTCTGGGGTTTCTTTTGGGTTTTTTCTTTTACATTTTACTCAGTGTTCCAACTTTTTTAGCCCCGTGGATGTATCGACATAGTGGGAGTTCAAAACAGGTAGATTTCGAAGCATCAAAGAGAGAAACCAGGTCACTGTTGCCATGTGCTTTGCCTTCACAACAGTTGAAAGGAAGAAGTCATTGTAAACACAAAAAGCTGTCTTCAGCAGAACCAGGTCAGACACCTGGCAGATGACGGAAAGACAAAACATCAACTACGAGAGAAAGAAGGCAAAGAGTTAACCGAGTGTCTTTTTTTTGCCATCAAATGAGTTTTTATTTTCTATTTAATTGTGATTATTCCTCTCTTTGTACTGTGCATTGTGTCTTCATGCTTGTGAAAAATCCTTACTTACCATAACCATTATCACTGTAGGAAGATGGGTGTTCGCCTAAAATGGCCTGTCTCTGTCTTCCCTTTCCACGGTCTGAAATACATACAAATACAGATAACACAAACCAATTATGTGAATGCGAGAAGATTTCACATATACTGATTTAAATAACATTAAAGAACACTTGGAAAGTGTTTCATTCATTCACTGCCTCGTTAGAGATCTGTTAGTACCAATCAAATGGTCCATTAAGGCCGAATGCTTGAACGGGCTGGGTCTGACTGTCTGACTGAGCCTATGTTTGGCAGTGCTTATGTGCTCCCAGATCTCAGCGATTAACTTGATGATTAAGTCTTAATGTGTGACAAATAAATAATACTCTACTTCATTATACTGTTTGACAGACAGTCACAAAGTAAAAAAACACAACCAGAAGACAAGAGAAAGCGTCCTCCACTAATCAGAAGGCTGACAGTTCAGTTCCCAGCTCCAAACAAGCAAGTTAATCCTAAAAACGGAAATACAGGAGGTTAACAACAAGGTGGAAACCATCTAAAAGAGTTTCAGCTGAAACCCAAATAAATGCACCAGAATAATGAAAATAGTAAAGAATTCAAAAGAAATGGAAAGTGTACCACAACATCTATCAGACATGGTGGAAGGCAGCAATGAATGACTGCCCGTGGAACAGGGTCGCCAGCGTTTATTGATGATGTGTCTGCTGGTAAAAGTCTGAATTGTATGGTGCTAGATTCTCTGCTCAGGTTCAGTCAAATGGATCTACACAGCGCTTCACAGTACAAATGGATCCTGCCAAAGAAACCCAAGAGTGTCTCAAATCAAAGAGGTGGGAAACCTTTCAGTGGTCAAGACCTGATCTCCACCCGACAGAGTAGCTTTTCAGTTACTGAAGGAAAAGAGACCAACAAAGAAGCAGCAGCTGAAGTTGGCTGCTTCAAAGGCCTCGCGGAGCGTCTACAGGGAGGAGACAGTGTTTTGGATTCTTGACTATATCTTTAAAAATCAGAGCCAGTTATTAGCAGTGCTACATTTAAAATGATGCAATGTTGCAATTTTGAGTTTGATCAATCACGACTCGGAGCATTCATGAAACAGTTCAGCTGAACGCTCTTTTAAAGCAGGATTTACAGTTTGACAAAAAGGCCTCCGTTTCTTCCAGTGTTCATATTCCTGCAGAAACATCACAGAGGAAATCTGTTTCCTCCATCTATGTTTATTGTGGGATTCATTTGGAACTGAGGGGTAGCTTCTATCTGATACTGTGCCCATGAAAGAGAACGACACAGTCCTGCAGAGCCATGGCAGATGTTGCTAATAGCTGAGATCTGAGACACTAACATGCCACTTCTTTGGTACAAATCTCTGCCACACAGATTCACTGAAATATTGCCCTGGCTTTCCTAAATATTACATTATATTACAGTATTATAATAAATATCATTGTGACATTTTCTTGGACTGGGAATAACACAGACAACTAAGAATGCTGCTGCTTAACATGGTCAGTTTTTAATACATCAGATAAACTCTCAGTTTTAACAGCTGTAAATCTACACGAGCACAACAAGCATGCTCAGCGGCAGACTACATGTGAAGGTTATTAATGTCCTTTATATGCCTTCATTGTGTTTCCGGTTGAGTTGGCCAAATTAAAACGGCCATGCTTTGCACATGACAACTCAAGAAAAAGAAGAAGATTTTAACGATGCCATCTGCCATGCAGAGATCAGAATTTCAAATGAAAAAGATCAGAAATGTGAGGTTTCAAAGTGAAATGAAGAGCAGCTGCTGATTTTCTACAGTAGTTTTTTGTGTGTGTTTGTACACATTTATTTCTATTTATTTAATCCCAGCTGCTCCCAAAAAATAACAACAAAACTACTTATGGTGGTAATGGAGGTGAAAAAATAAGAAAAACAGTTTTGTGGTGGTTTTATTCAGAGAAGAGCAGGAAAAACAATACAAACACATGTGAACAGAGATAAGAAAGAGACAGTACCTGTGAGGCATCAAGCTTTCTCTTTTTTCTCCCTCAGCACAAAAGAACATCAACCTGCATTACATTATCATCACAATGATAAAAACATGACCATTATCAAAACTCTCATCCATCAAAGCATTACATACTGTATATGCTACACACATGTTGGAGGCACACTGACATGACACAGACTTTCTGACGATCGGTCCCATACGTACTGCCAGGATAGCGTCTTATCCACAACACGTCTGTCTGCAGTGCTGTGGATCAATCACTGTGTCACATGGCTGAAATATGCACCCACTCAGGATCAGTGTTGGTCAAGTTACTCGAAAAAAGTAATCAGTAACTAATTACTGATTACTTCCCCCCAAAAGTAATCCTGTTACTTTACTGATTACTTATTTTCAAAAGTAATTAATTACTTAGTTACTTTTTAAAAACACGATTTACACCCTGAATAGGTGATAAAGTGATAGATCTTTCAGCCCAATTCTACTTTTTCTGCATAATCCATCATACATAATGTAATCAAATGGAAAAGTCTCTTTTTAAAACTTGTTTTATTAGTTTTAATCTTTTAACTTTATGCATCAAGCAAAAATTTAATTATATGCAACATTCTCTGACTGGAAGAAATTAGTTTAACATTTAAACCTATTTTCTGCACATTCCAGCTCATAAAATAAAATATTTTTTGTGTTCACACTCAGTCTTTCAAATAGATGCAAGTAAAACACAGCAGAAAATAAATAAAGTCAAAGACTCAGCGGTCCTGTTGCTCTATTTTCACCTGTAAAGCAGGAGTGGGGTAGGCGGAGGGTTACCCTGGTGCAGGTGTGCCGCGGTCAGTGGAAGAATCCGTGAGTTTCTCTGTGAGTTTCCCATTACGTCGTAGCTACTCGGTGCTTGTTGGAAGTTTAGGGGTTTTTTTCGCTGTAAAAAGAAGTTCTCTTCCCACGCAGAGCGGACACTAATGTTTTTGTCACTTTTTATGGAGTCAAACTCAAAGTAAGGTCAGTACTTCCACGCTTTAAACGCTGCACGCTCATACTCTCTCTGCACTCGATATATGATCCACTGTTGATCTGCACACAGCTGTTGTCACTAACGTCGCACTCGCTTACGTCACTGTCATGAGACATTCTGCAAAAAAATCACAGTTTTAGTAACGCAGTAACGCAGCGTTCCTACGGGAAAGTAACAGTAATCTAATTACCGTTTTTGCAATAGTAATCCCTTACTTTACTCGTTACTTGAAAAAGTAATCGGATTACAGTAACGCGTAACCCATCTCTGCTCAGGATAGTGGAGACAAACTGGACTCCATTTCAGTGAATCAAACTGGGATGACACAACCAGTTTTACGTTTACTTTCCACATGAGGTTGGATTTGTGTATTTATGTGTTTGTTTGTTTTCCATGAATAAATGAAATCATCGTTTTATATCTACTGTGTTTTTGTCAACGGCTAAAATTTACTTGACAATCTGAAACATTTCAGTGAAGTCAAGTAGGTGACAAACAGTTTTTCATTATACTGTAGAAATGTTCACTGCAGTGAAATCAAAGGGTTCACAGTACTGTGTGACCTATCAGGTCATTAAAGTAACATAAAACACGCTTCAATGCAACTTTCCTTTGATTTAAAGAATAAATTCTCAGCTCCCAGGTGGTGTTAAATTTATCATATAAATAATTCACTAACTATTTTTGTATTCTGGCAAGAATTTAACAGTAAAATACTCCTTTTGCTTTCCCCTGCTAAGCTTAGCAGATTTAGATCATTTTGTTTTGCACTCTGAGCCTGCTTGTGTATTAAAGTATCTGCTATGATGATAATGATAAGCTCAGTGTGCGTCTTTGCTGAGGGTGACCCTGACTGCATGATTTTGGGTTGTCTGACAACAGGCTAAGATGTTGTGAGAGGATCTGTAGTTGACGAGCCAAAACAAACCAGAACATCTGACTGTATTGATTGCAGCTTATGTATGTTTAAATATCCGTCACCTACACCTGCTGATGTTTTGGTCTCTGTTTGCGTTTGTTAAATGTTCAGCTTACATTATATGCACATCACCCATATGTAACATAAGATTCACCCAAATTTCTGTCTGTGATTGAATTGTGATGCAGCTCTCCAACGGAGTTGCACCTCCTCCCAAGATAGAGGATCCACTGGATGCTAATCACTGTGCTATGATCCAATTTCTTTCATGGACAGTATATTTTTACAATCGTGTGATCTCACAAAAGCGAATCAAAGCAAACCCCTTCGACATCATGTCCTCTTTATGATAGATTAATAGTAGCAGCAGTTATTGGATGAACGGACTTCAGAACCCACAGAAGGGGATTCTCAACATGCATCAGATACCATCTACATGGGAGTGAAGCTGTTAATAATTGTATCATGCACTCCCAGATTTGGTCTGAATACAAAACGAAGAACGTCAAGAGACGTTTTCACCTGTGGTCCCAGGTGAGCCAAGAATGGTCTCTCCAGCGCATTAATTACACAGGATGTGAGGACAAGTGGTCAACAGTCATTAAGCTTAGGTGTGTGGTTCATTAAGTGCAGTTTGCAGACACAAATCAAACATGCAAAGTGTACATAGCCGCATTTGCCTACCTTTGCAACAACTGTTGTTGCTACAGGTTGTTGTTTAACGAGAGGACTACACTATGGTCAGACCTCCCAGTGCAGGGCATAGAGCAGCTCTAGCACCCCATCTTCTCAAGTGGGACAACGGACATACTATTGATACAGTCTGTATTCCAATAGCTATCAATACCCAACCCACAGAAGCGTTCTTTCACAGGAACACGTCGGGGACTGACATTTCTATTCACCCAAAAACTCTGCAGGAACAAAATGATGAACGTGCAAAACATGGAGGAGTGAAAGCAGCAGAGTATGACAGGGTAGAAGAAAAGGGGCAGGTTGATGGAAATGCACATTGGCACAGAGAAGCAGAGAAAGTCAGAGACGAATGGCGTTCGAAGATGCACTCAGCTGTCTGTGGATGAAAGTAGATAGAGCTCACTGTATGAATGTATGGTTAAACGTGACTTGCTGTCTAAAGTGATGATCATTTTATCTCACTGTTATTGTCATTATTATTTTATATTATTGTTCTGTTTATTTTTATCCTTCTGCCAAACTAATTTCCCCTTGTGGGACAATAAAGAAATTGAACTGAACTGAACTGAATTTAAAGTAGAAAAGTATCACGTCAGTATCAGTCCGCTTCCATTTCCATAAGGTTCATAACCTCATGCTAAACACAGCTACTAAAGTAAAAGGTACAAGTAATATGTAGGTCAGTCTATGAGCCCATAGCTATATGCTCTCCTCTGGTAACGTACCCTTTGACAACATCAACCACTTCCCCCTATGCAGCCAGGGCGACCTTGTTTGGGTAGTTTAACCATATCCATGAATGGCTCTGTTAGTCAAAAGCAACAGAACCTGTGGCTGATGAGCATGTTTATTTTATCAGCAGTGCAGGGAAAAAGAACTCTGTGCTACTTCCAGCTGCTCCCTTATCACAGAGGGCAACTTTGCATGTTTGATTTGAGTTTTCAGTGGCTGCTCTTCCTGACGTAACCTCTCCTTCTCGAACCAAACGGGGGATCTTTTACTTGAACAGAGTTTCAGACAACCGATATTCTGGGTTCCCTGATGTGCTGCTGGTGCTCCTCAAAACACTGCAGCTTGAAACACTGCTGCATTTTTTCACTAGCACAAGGAACTAACAAAGGGGTGCACAGTCACTGTGATAGCGTGACTGGTCTTCTTCTGTGGTGTGGGAGGGACCCAAACGGCTCTGTGGCTTTACCCAGTTTTAGAGGCCGTTCACACCACCTGGCTGCTGCCAGTAATGTGCAGAACTGCATCAGTCTTCTGGGCTAGTATTCTAACCTGTTTTAGCTGACACAACATATTACAGCCGAAAACAAATCTAGGTTTGGGCCCAGGGCTGGACATTCTGGTAAAAGCTGTAAGGCTATAAAGATAAAAATAAGAGATAAAACATTTTAAAATATGATTTGTTTGATCATCTAAAAATGTATTTCATGCCAAGATAATACTTCATATTTATGTGAATCTTCCCCAAAGTGCCTCATTTAGAGAAGGTCCAAAGCAGTCTCCCCAGTGATGGTTTACTGTAGCAGCCATGTTTAAATACAGTCTCCCTCAAACACACGTGCACAAGTGTATATATAAAAATACAGTTCACTAGCTGGGCCCACGTCCTCATTTGAGGTTTGACAGCGTTTTAGTAGATAATGGTGAATGGTTGGCCATGTATTGAGCTGTGGTTTGGGGAAGGCCTCAGAGGAGACTGGCGGCTCATCATGTACTAAATAGAAGTTAAGAAGTTAAAGAATTGAAAAGGGGAGGGAGGGGCATGTAAACGAGAACGAAGAGCTTGTAGAACTGGGGGAACACATATAGATGAGAACCAGAAGGAGCGTGTTTGGAGGCGTGGTCCCTGAAGTTCAGATACTTTATCTCCAAATATATAACTTCTATCAAAGGAACAGAAATTCATTCATGTAGGTGCTGGATGGTGGAAATGATTAAAGCAGCACAAGAAAAGAGCAGCTAGTACAGAGGGAATATAAAGCAAACTAAAACTGAGCAGTAAAGGTACTAGCAACCACTATTGTGGAAGCTAAATACATAAAGAAATACATTTTCATACTCCACCAGAGACCCCAACACACCCCAGCCTCACTGGTGACTTGCCCCAGTCTGTGTCAATGCAGTGCACCCCCATGAAATCATATAACACAGCAGATAAAATGTATTTAGTGACTATTTCAACTAAACAGAGTTGGGACCAGTTCATCACAAAAACAATCGTTTAATGAATCATTTTAAAACAAGGCTGTTTAAGGTTATATTAGGCAGCCAAAACTAAAATATTTAATGGTCGTTAATGGCACTTCGGGGAATGTCAGAGTCTCACAGAGACTGTAACAAATAATAAATAATGCTCTGTGGATATCAAAAGAACATTTCACGGTGAAGCTGATACTCTGGGCAGCAGCTGTTAACGTTGCCATAGACTGAAGCCAGGGGCTGTGAGCTTACCGCTTTCAGATGTCGGGCAATTTTTAATCAGTGCTGTCTGAAAAAAAAACAACAGTTTTTTTTGAATTGAGTGAATTCAGGATGAACTGACTCCAACATCAGTCTCATCACACAGTTTCAGATAATGGACCACACAGGACTGCGATCACACAACACACTCATGCAGTAATACAACGTAACAACTTTTGGCTTTAAACAAGTCACTGATACATAGTAATGAATCTTTCTATCAAAATATACAAATCAAGGAGATTTAGATGGCTAAATGTAGAGCTCCTGATTAAGGCTGTCACAATATACTGGCTTTCACAGTTAGTATTTCTTAGAGTTTGCAGATTCGTGTACCTTTGCTGGTTGGCTGATAGCAGAACCAGGCCGTGTGGTTGACGGTGAGTCAGCACTTTTTCACCTGTTTGATTCTTTCCACCAAGAATTCAAAGGCTTGGCGGTCAACAGCTAACTCTGTCTCAGACACACTAGAGGCTGTCTTTGGTAAGAGCATGTTCATGCTAACTAACCTAAATCCTTTGGTAGTTCTCGAGTTACATAACTTGCTGTTCACATTAATACTGATCTAGAGTCTTTCAGTCTCATTTGAGATTTGCAATTTAACGTTTCATATTTGAGGATCTGCAATAACACCAACACTGCTTTTTTAACTACATGGCAAATTTAGACACTTGAACCCAGATACACATGTGAAGGAAGCTGACACGCCTACTCACAGTCTTTATTTATTCACATGCCTATCTACCAGAATATTTAGCTGTCATCTGAATAGCTACTGTATCTGCTTCTCTCCGTTTTTCAGACCTGTAACAGCCAATGAAATTCTCAATTTAGTGTTCTATCTTAATTATAAGCAACATTGTAAAGATAGTTCTTAGTTTATCGTTTTTGGATACCATTTTTGCAGTAAGGTGTCATTAAAAATCTGATATTGTGACAGCTCCAATTCAGACAAAATAAAGCAACAGAGAGCAGAGTTTTGATACTCATAATGTAGAATCACATAGCCAGAAACTCAACTTATTACCCAATAAGGTGTTTTCATCAGATTTTGAAGAGGAAACAAGGATTTGATTTCACTTGTTATGTAGATGTTTGGTAAAAAACATGCAAGATTGCTATAAAAAAGCAACACTGAAAGTTAAATCTAACATGTCGAGGCTCTGGAGAACAAAAGACGTTGTGCAGACCAGGTGTCAGGCTATGTGAGACTACTTCTGCAGACAAAAGGAGATTAAGAACACAGGGTAAAATAGGTGGAAAGGAGGCAGTGCTATCCTGCAGCGAGTGGCAGGGAAGGTGGCTCCTGGGCATGTTGAAGCAGCAGCTGCATGGTGGTCAGCAGGAGTGAGATCCATCTCTTTTTCTCCCTCTCTTTCTCTCTTTGCTGGGTTGCAAAGGTGTAGATGGAAGAAAGTTGCTGTGCATGGCCAGCCTGACGTTCTCTGCTCTCTCACTGTCCCTCAATGTGTCTCTCTCTCTTTCCCCACAGTAGGCAGAGGTGCAAGATTGTCAGAGGTCGGAAATTGGCTGATATGAGAGTGTTTTGATTGGAGATGTAGAGGCAGGAGGCGTAGGAGTCTCGGTGTGATGGAGAACTATGTTCCGGGACAATTTTCAGGACTACACTGAATCCACAGTCAGAAACGGGCAAATAACAACTGAAGATTTGGCCACGGATTCACAAATCACTAAAAGGTTTCCTAAAAGAGCTGTAGTGAAGGTGAATATGTCCCCACAGAGAATTCATGCTGAAAACAGTCCTACCTTCAACATTACAGCAGCTCAAGTATTGCAAAAAGACAGGATCACCCTCAAACAGTCAACCTGTCTGAGTCTGACCGTACGGCTGAAGTTAAAAGGGAGACTTTGACCTACCTCGTCTGACCAGGTATGGTTTTGTGTAGTCCCAGCTCTCGTTGTCATTCTTAATAACATTCAGACGTGTTGGCTGTTGAAAAGAAAGATGAAAAAAGATTCACGATCTAGCTGGATGGATCTGTGATACCAAGGAGAGTCTCAGAAGCCACTGAAGAAAACGCCAAACACTGCAGTGCATCAACAGTTTATGAGTTTGTCACACATTTGTATACCTGTACAGTCATTTCATGACACAAAGCATAAAGTGCACAAAAAGAAATTAACCAATTTAATTTATTCATTTAAATTCTAAAATGTATTTTGAAATGTGCAAAATTTAAGAGTAACATTTGAGATTTAGTTCTGGTGTGGGTAAGGATCTATTACTGGTTATACTGAGAACCCAAACAGGTTCAGTACACTTGATTTATTTGCTATATAAAACTAACTCAGGTTGGTAGAAAGTAGATTTAACACATTCTGAGTATCGTTTGCCGCAGGAAACCTTGCAGTCAGGGTAAATCAGTGCTGTCTACATAGCACAAAAACACTGTGGATGCTGCTGATGTTTCTCTTACCCTTGCATATTCAATCTTTAGTGTACAGCAACCTGCATAGATGTCAGCTCCATTCAGAGCTGCTTTCGCCTTCTGAGCACACTGAACCGACTCAAATCTGCAGAAGCTTGGTTAAGGAGAGGACGTTCAAACACAGAGATATATAAATGACATACATTTGCAGATACTTATCCATAGCTACATTCAATAATGGCAATGAAACCACATAGAAGCATGGGTAAAATACATACATTATTCCTTGCTCTGCATCTTCCTCACTCTTGTTGGGACTGTGGTTAATCCTGCACTTCTCTATGGCTGGTGCTAGCAACAGCAGCCTTTTGTGAATGTGAGGGCTTGTTACTAGTTGCTGGTTTGACTGTTGACCATGCAGCACCAGCAGACCAGACAGCTAACCTGCCGGTTAATTAGACACATTATGCTGCATTTGTTTGTTGTTTCTTTCTCTTTTTCTGGCTTTTCAGCTCCACCTTTTTCAAAATACACTCCGTTCTACAAGTTGTGTGAGTGCACAGCAAAGGTAGGTACTGTTAAGAGATTTGAGTGGGAAACACAGTGCCAGTAATGGAAATAAAAGAATGGGCTGCTGTAGCATGTAGGGCCGGTGTGCACCATCCCTTTAATTTACACATCTGACCAAAAGTGTGTCACCCCACTGGTCAAATGTCCAGTATGCCAGATTACCGTCCAGCCCAGCCTGGTATACTTAAGGACTCTGAGCACGCCTGCTCTCGTCTGATCTGGGAAGCTAAGCAGGGTTGGGGCTGGTTATTACTTGGATGGGAGACCGCCTGGGAATACCAGGTGCTGTAAGCTTGGGTGGGGGTGGAGCAGGTCATCTACTGATTGGAAGGTTGGTGGTTCGCTCCCTGGTTCACCCTAGTCTGCATGCCAGATACCATTAGCCAACCCTAAGTTGCTCTCTGATGCATCCATCTGTGTGTGAATGTTAGTTGGTGAGCACTTAAAATCACAGCAGAAACTGCTTGTGAATGTGGCATGCTGTATTAAGTTCTTTGAGGACTCTGAGTAGAAAAGAATCAGACCAGTTACTGTAGGACAAAAGGCAGGATACAAACTTGACTGGTCCCAGTCTGTTACAGTGCAAATCGAGAGAGACAGACACTTGTATGGGCGATTAAGAACCACCCACTAACCTACCCCTACTGTGACATAAGACACAATCCAATTTACATTTAGTGGCCAACAGAATATGAACATGGGTTTCTGTGTCGTGTCTAAGAGTCTTGTCTTCTGCCACTGCAGGCTGACACGCACTCCCACAGCCGTTAACATAAACCCCCCTCAGCAGTGTTTCCAAAACCCTCTGTTTTAGGATCCTTAAGCATGAGGGTTATGAATGACAAGAAAGAATGTAGCCCTGCATCAGACTGGCGACCTGTGCAGGTGTACCCTGCCTCTTGCCCTGTGGTAGCTGGGATAGGCTCCAGCCCCCCCACCGACCCTGATAAGGAAGAGTGGAAAAGAAAGGATGGATGGATGATGGAAGAAAAGCACTAAATGATTCATGTCAAATAATGCATGAAAACATATCTCTCTGGATGAGTGTCAAGGATACAGTCAACCCTTGAAATTCACGAGAGTTATGTTCAAAGAGGACCCACAGATTGTGAAAAACTGCAGATTTTGGATGTGGTCAGAAATGCCTATTTTTATAGTTTAAACACCAAACGTGAATTTGGGCAGGATCTTAGGGCTTTCACAAAAAACATTGCCGTGTCCAAATTCATAGGCTGCATCCTCCTGAGGACATGGCCTTCGCGGTCTAGGTGCGCCAGGTCCTCTGAAGGCCGGGTAGGCCGGAAGCAAGCAGCTGTGAAATTGGACGGTGAAGCCTTCAGATCTGCGTCACCGCTGTCTCAGGGGCGTTTAATGAACTCGGCCGTCTGCTCCTTGCTGTCTAAAATATAACAGGACACTGGAGTAAACTCTCGACCGTCTCACACTACTGTTTAATCAGTTTTCTGTTTGACGTTTATTCAGCTGTGTAAAAACTAGAACTTTAATCTCAGCCAAACCGATTTACTCAGGAACAAATAAAAGACTGAAAAAAGACAAACAATAACATTTTGAAATTATCTAAGTGACTCATATGTCATGTTTAACCCGAGTAGTGAAAGACGGCGGGTGTTTTGAAAACGATGTGCTGGGAGTCCGCTGTTCTCGCCGGCTCTAGTGAGGCTTGAACCCCGGGCTAGCTATCGAGCTGGTGGGTAACAGACGTCTCGGAAAACGTCGGAACGCTTTTACAAATATGTGCTGTCTTGATAAACCGAGCAGATATTTGAAGTTTACGCAGCTACATTCTGAAAATATCTTAAAAGTTTGTTTTGTGTCCCAGAAACAGTAATAAGAGTAATATTAAAACTAACAGGGCTCTAGACTAACTTTTTGCCATGGCCGTACTGGTACGCCTAACTTTAGGCGTACCACCACAAAAGTTAGGCGCACACAAATTTTATAATAATTGATATAATATAATGTGTTTTCTGGATACACTGTGCTTTCTCAGCATTCAAAGATTGATGACACCGTGTCAGAGCACTGGCTATGAATTTCAGAAGCATCAGGCCTTAACAGAAAAGTTAGCAATAGTTATTTTCCTATTACAGCTACATCCACGTCTGTCGTGCCTAGGCTGCTCATAGGGCTGGGTATCATCACTGATTTCTATAATGCATTCGATTCCGGTTTTCAAAGTCCCGATTCGATTCAACTTAGCCTCAGACAGTCAGAAATATTATAATTCTGATCATTTATCAGCACTGACTTCTTCAGAATTGTGAGCATCACAGCAGATGCCTTTGTGTGAAAGTAACTGAGAATAAAACAGAAAAACATGAAGGAGATTTTCCTGGTCTGGCTTTTTATAGCAGATAACCTTAAAAATATTCTACAATGTTCTGCATATGAAGTTTAAATTTCTTTAGTATTGAACAACAGAAAAATAGGCTTTCTTGTCCGAGGTCATTTAAGTGAAAAAGAAAAAGACAGCAGCCACAGCGCTGTGAACAACGGTAGACTGGTGGGTAATAAGCCAATGAATAATACAGAAAACAGAGATTGGAGACGGGAAACTGTTCTTGAAGTACAGAGAGAGAGAGAGAGAGAGAGCTAGCTGTGCATGAAGTGTGATTTTAATAGTCGTGGAAGCAAAACAGCAAAATTCATGACGACATTGATCAAATGTGAAGCGCAGTTTGCTGCTTCTTTTGCTGCTGGCTCGGTGAATTTTGGTTGGAGAGACAAAACCTGCAGCTCAGAATCAGCGCAAAAAGACGTAATCACAGCGCGGACCGGACGCATCAGGATCGCTGAGCTCCGACAGCGTGTCCGTCTACGAGCCGTCGGGTGAGAAAGCCGAGAAAGACAAAGCTGATTCTGATGTCTGTGTTTACGTCTCTGTGTGGAGTCCGTGTACCTGCTCTCATCTGCTGTTTGGTTGTTGTTGAAATGGTTTTGTGAGCTTTAATCTGAGAATCTGGCGTTTCTGGCAAAACACAGTTATATTTAAAAGTCAGGATTTAATGAATTGATATCGCTTTGTTCAAGCTACTCACCTCCCACTTCCACCTGCACTTTCAACTGGACCACGGCCAATCAGAGAGGTCCCGCCCCTTACTATCTCTGATTGGTTTAGTCCACGATAGGGGCATAATGTGTGTCTGTTGTTGACCACAGGGAAGGTTGCAGATTTTTTGTTTTTTGCTACCCGAACATTTGGTCGCACAGGTGCAACCAAATATCTTTTTTTAGTCGCACCACTGACAAATTTGGTCGCATTTGCGACCAAATTGGTCGCACTCTAGAGCCCTGACTAAGTAGCTGCCGCCATTGTTGTAAACCGAAATTGGCTTTGAATTCTGGGATAGGTTGGGCCACGAAGGATACACCTGTATCCCGTCACTGTGACGTAATCGGCCTACAAATGCGGCACCGGAAGGATGCAGCCCATGAATTTGGACACGCCCCATGAGAACACTCGGTGACACACTGAAGATAGCTACGTGTGGTAAACTGTTATGATGCAGAGTGTGAGGAACACACAGATTCACCCACTCAGTAAGGATACTCCACCATGGCTTGGATTCCATTTCGTTTAAAGATGACGATCCTCAGCACACTGCCAATGGGGTTACATACAGTGTACAGAACATCCTGCATCAATTTGGACACACACACACACAAAAAGACAAAATGCAGGATTAGCGTTAATCTATGAGTTTCTAATGGTGAGACCTTCATGTATGAAGGTTAAGACATGTAACTGGAACAGTGATGGTTTTGTATTTTTAACTCCATTCACTTTTATGTATATATTTCTTTATAGCCAAATCACAATGGCAATCATGACAAATATAACTGAGACACCTGATGTAGCAGAAATTTATGGAAGCCCGTTTCCGCCACAAAGAAAAAAAAAAAAAAAAAAGGATCCATAACTCAAAATTTAGTCATTTTCTCAAAATTTCGAGTTATTTTCTCAAAATTTCGACATATTAACTCGAAATTTCGATTTATTAACTCAAAATTTTGAGAAAAGCAACTCGAAATTTCAAGTTAGCGCTGCCAATCAGTAATCTACGTGAATGACGTCCTTTCCTCGTTACCCGGAAGCTGAAGCCCTCAGCTACAAATGCTACAGCTAAGCTACCGGTATTACATCCAGTCGCACAGATTGCTGAGTGTTTTCAGCCTGGCTTCACAAATGATGAAATCCCCGTGTTATTAGCTGAATCACACGGTGTTACTATCAGCAAACGCACTCGCCAAAGCGCCAATTTGTTGGGATCTGTTTTTGAGTGCGCGTTCCTCTCAGAATCAGAATCAGAAAGGGTTTTATTGCCAAATGTTGAGCAGGTTTACAACATTAGGAAATTGCTGCGGTGCTTCAGTGCAAACATACTGTCATAAATTACGCTTAAATAGACATGAAAATAAAAATAAGAATAAGAATTAAAAGTGCTACGTAGATAGATACAGTATATACATGAGTGCAGGTGGTGATCAGTGCCAAACATGGAATGATGCAGTGAACACAGCGTAGGGTCATGTGTTAGTGGTGGGAACAGTCATACGGTTATTGTTCGTGTGTCCAACAGCAGAGGGGAAGAAACTGTTCTTATGGCGAGAGGTTCTGGTGCGAATGGGCCGGAGCCTCCTGCCCGAGGGGAGCATATGCTTCCGGGTAACAAGAAAGTGACCTCATTCACGTATATTTTTGATTGGTAGAGCTAACTTGAAATTTTGAGAAAAGTAAATTTTGAGTTATATTTCTCAAAATTTCGAGTTAATAAGTTGAAATTTCGAGAAAATAACTCGAAATTTCGAGTTATGGATACTAGCTTTTTTGTTTTTATTTAGTGGCGGAAACAGGCTTCCATAGAAATTACACAAACACATTCTGGTGTAAAGTTTTGGTGATGGTTAAGTTAGGCACAGGTGACATATGTTGAACATAAATTTAAAAAATATATGCAAATGGAGATCGTAACACCACACTTGCAGGGATGATGAATACAAAAATCAAAAGAGTTGATGTTTGTGCAAAGTTCTGCTCAGATTGCCCCTCCATTTAAAGAAGACAGACGGTACGACTTAATTATGAGTTATAAATGATTAAAAAACACGCAAGATATAAACCACATCCATCAGCATATCATAAAGACTATGAGTTATTGTTCGAAGAAGAAGGTACACTTAAGAAAAGAGAGCTGAGATGTCCCTCTGGATCTGTATGTGTGTTTACCGTTGTTATAGGGTAGAGTGGGTTCTGTATGGACAGCAGAAGCACTTTGTTCCCACTGTTGGGGTTGTCAGCATTTGTAGGCCTGGTGATTCTTTTGGATGTGGAATAATTAAAGTATGCTTGTTGACCTGATGACAAAATGAAAAATATAAACACAAACAGTATGCTACATTTGAGTATATGTTACCAAGTAAAAAGGAATGGAAGCAAAGACCTGCGATGTATACTGGCTCCTTGGCTCCACAGGACACACAGCGGTCTGCACTCTCCACTGCAGAGAATTCCACCAAGGCCTGACGCTTGAATGGCATCATCATCACATAACTGAAAACATACGCACAAACACCTGGATAAGACATGGACTGCTGAAAACTGTCTCCCCTTTATACAAGTTCCTTTGACGGGTCACTCTGGCAGCTATACTGCAGTTTTCTAATCTTATAAACAGCACATTTGTACAATGACTGAAACCAGCTTGTTGAATGAACAATGGGCTGTGAGGTGACTCATGACCATTGATTAATAATCATGAGTCCCATTCACAGAGAGTTGGGGAATGGCTGCAATCACAGCATTGTAAGATGGTGACAGATGTACCCTTAGGCCCCCTCCTCGATTCAGAGATGGTCTTTCCCTTTTCACGTAAATGGCCTCCTTGACTCAAACCAGCGTTGCTTCCTGTCCAGGATGTTACATCCTCATCATTGAAAGAGTGTCCACTGGCCTGTAGTGTGAATAGACTGCAGAGTCCTGGCCTGACGAGGTGGCTCTTCTGTGTTCTGCCATCCTCTTCGCCAGAGGTTGTTTGGTTTCCCCGATGTATAAATCATAGTCCTGGCACTTAACAGCATGTTATGTTACTATGTTACTCTGTTTGTGTCGGGGGACCCGATTCTTGGGGTGGACCGGTTTTTGGTGCAGCGTGTTTTAGGGTTTAAAAGCCACAGGGACGAATTGAGGATCAAAGCCAGAAACTTTAAGATGTTATAGGTGACAGAGTTGATCATACAGACAGTCGGTCTTAAAGGTGCACCCTGTTTATGTATCTTCGGTAAACTGTACAGACTTAGTGTAGCTTCCCCTGGGTACAGCCTGCTGTATGAGGTCCGGTCAATAGCCTTGTCTTGTTCTAATTGCTTCAGACACCCTCTTCCTGTAACCACTTCCTAGGTCCCCCTTTAGGGGCTCATAAGTATTTTTGTCACTGAGCAAAGACAAAATTTTCTCAGGAACATTTTGTCACTTTGTCTGGTTTAGCAAAGGTTGGGGAAACATGCAGTCAGCTGAGCCTGAAGAAGTCACTTAGATAAGTGACAAAATGTTTCTCCCACTGAAAACGTCCAGATGAACAGAATCAACCTTTTGAGACTTACTTACCTGGATGACTAAGCATGCACCAAGACACTGTAAGCTTCAAGTCTCCCCACAACAGTATCATTAGAAGGCATAGCATATATCTTCACTAGTATTAAGATGATACCTAGCTTTATCTATCCATTAGGCTAGATAATACACATCAGTTAAACTGAAGAATGGTCATAAAGACATGGGTGAACTCGAATTTCCTGCTTTTAAATCCAGATAACATGGACGTTATTGTACTTGGCACCCAAAATCTTAACCAAATGCCTTCTCTGGACGACGTTACCTTGGCACCCCTTCACAGACAACGTCCAGAATCAACTTTCTGGGATTCTGGAAAGAATATTCACAGAAACAGCCCAGAAATAGTTATGACAACTTTTTAGCATGATACTCAAAAAGAACAAAGGTCAGAATTGCTGCCATCATCACTGATCTAAAAGAAGTAATTGATGCTGTTTGAGGACGGTTATAAGGCCATTTCCAAACAGCATGAAGTCCATCATTCCACAATCAGAAAAATTATTCACAAATTGAAAAAAATTGAAGACAACTGGCAGTCTTTCCAGTCTTCCAGATCCATCCATCCATCCATCCTCATCCGCTTTATCCGAGGCCAGGTCGCGGGGGCAGCAGCCTAAGCAAAGAGGCCCAGACCTCCCTCTCCCCAGCCACCTCCTCCAGCTTATCCGGGGGAACACCAAGGCGTTCCCAGGCC